ATTCTGCAACAGACAATAATTAATCACCTTATTTTTGTCTCTCCATTTACCATGGCTGACTACACTAATACCCTTTAAACAGTGGACATCGATTTCAGTATACATGTAGGCTTTTTGTTTAAAGAGGAATATGCAGGAAATTATATGTAACAATTAACTGTGTACTAGTTACATGTTTGAATGTTATCAGTTTTGCGTTCTGAGATACAGTGATGTAAGTATCTTCTACAATTAATAATACATGTACATAATAAAATACAGAACTCTCTGCCGGAATTTTTCGTGGAAATCATTCGATCAAGTAAAAAATGACTGCGTGACAAGACAAATCAACTATTTATACCGGATAAAAGAAACTGCCTCATTTTAGGAACAGTGCTATATCAGGACATTTGAAATTTCTAACAAGCAGATACATTAGAGACAGTGACTAGACTACATGTACGTAATCCGTATCAATCAAAGGTGTAAAATAACTGAAAATCATATCGGTCGGAGACCTACCAAATTTACCAAGTTTTATTATTACTATATTTATTACAATGCAAATACTTTAGTGATACATTTTTCAGAGGAGAGGGCATACACACAACTATATTGCTTCCGTTTGTGAATGCAGGTAATACTTGGCATCTCAGTTCTCAGTTTTATACCGGTTGTTTATCTGAATTTGTATATGGAACCATGCGTACAGCATGACAATTACTTGCTAGTCGTCAGTCAACAACACACATAACACGATCAAACAATTTTGGGCACCGCTTTTGCAAGTTATGTATTACAATAATGTTTTATTAAAATCTATTTCAATTTGTTTTCACCATTTTCCCAATTCCATTCCATGTATGTTTATGTTGCTACATCTTATTGCTCATGTTCCCAAGTATTATAAAACACTTTAATGTCTCTCCTTTCTAATCTTACATTAAAATATTTCAGGTCATTACCATCATCTAATACACAAGAGATGATACCAAGACATATTTAATTCGGTTTTATGGTCTATGCGGTCTTACAATTGATTTAATTAGTCTTTAAATCTTATGTCTAGTACATATTTTCACAAACAGGACTGCTAGCTGATATAAGGAAGGTAACATCCTGTTGAATTCCCGGTTGACGTATTTACTTCTTTTTTTATCAAATATGAGGTATACGACATACGTTAGTCTCTTAACGACGTTTCTACAACTAATATTTTGAATAAGCCGTTGATATGCCAGTTGTGACAGGCCTAGGGATGATGGTATGGTAGCTGTAGCAGACAGATTGACAGTCGTTGTTACGTGGTGTCACTAGGTAATTAGTACGGCATTGACCTTGTTGATTGTTACTATACTTTGAGGATTTCTGTGGCCAGTGGCGGACGTAATTCAAACTCCTTCCACACTGACACTGCATCAAATATATTTGTGTGCCGATTACATAACACTTACGGACAGGGTGGGGTGGTAGTTCACCGGACGACACTGTGTATATTCGGCGGCTCCTTTGATATCTCCTCCAAACATGCTTTTTTTTAATTGCCCATTAAACGATGATACACATCTCGTTGAATATATCAAGGCACTAATTCATCTTTCATAAACCTTTTTTGTCCCTGTGCTTAATATATCCACATATCAACGAAAATATGTAATACATGTATCCACAAAGAAATATACATATACAGGCTAGGTATTTGCCCACAGCAACACCTGCATAACTGTTTATTCACGCGTGGTGTGGTAGATCGTAATTGACCGAGAGCAGGTATTGTAGAATCACCTGTAAATAATGCCGACACTGTAATTAGATGCAACGTACTCATGAGAATATGAGAATTATCATAAGAAGGCTGGTTGTTTTTTTCTGAACTGTTACCATTTTCATACCAAAAGTGACAATGCATTTAAAAGTTGCTTAAGTGTCATAATATTCACTCAAGTTTTCCTCAATCGCCGGTAAACATCGCACCGCATATAATGAAATAATTATTTCGAGATTTCGTTAGAATGTGAGATATTCAGCTAGACATTATGCAATGAAAGACGAATCGGGTTTTGTCCCCATTAAAATACGCGCACGTGTACCTGTATAGTGCATATCTAGTGTCACTTAATTTCCCAGTGTGATGTATCAACGAGACATAAAATGGGAAATGAAAAAGAAACAAACTAAAATAACGCCGATGAATTGGTGTGCACGCGCATTAATTCGTATGATAAACTGTCAAAACGTTTGGTGAAATATTTTAATAACGCCAAAAATTAGTTGAATTAAGTTAAAATGAATTGAATCATGTGTCATGCTTATAATCCCTTAATGTATTTGCAAAAATTAAAACTGTTGAGCAAAGGAAAATATGCTCGCCCATGGGCCAAACCTTTTTCTCGCCCATGGGCGAAATATTTCAATATCGCTATAAAATCGATGAATTAAGTTAAAATGAGTTACGTTTTTGTGTCATGATACTTGAAAGATATACATATTCTCGCCCATGGGCCAAACCTTTCCTCGCCCATGGGCGAAATATTTCAAAATCGTTATAAAATAGTTGAATTAAGTTAAAATGAGTTAAATTTTGTGTCATGATACTTGAAAGATATACACTTATGTATTTGCGAAACAAAAACATGATTTTTCAGTAAAGGAACATATTCTCGCCCATGGGCCAAACCTCTTTCTCGCCCATGGGCGAAATATTTCAGTATCGCTATAAAATAGTTGAATTAAGTTAAAATGAGTTAAATTTTGTGTCATGATACTTGAAAGAAATACATTTATGTGTTTACGAAACAAAAACATGAGTTTTAAGTAGAGGGACATATTCTCGCCCATGGGCCTGCCCATGGGTCAAACCTTTTTCTCCCCTATGGGCGAAATATTTAAATATCGCTATAAAATAGTTGAATTAAGTTAAAATGAGTTAAATTTTGTGTCATGATACTTGAAAGATATACATTTATGTGTTTACGAAAGAAAAACATCAGTTTTAAGTAGAGGGACATATTCTCGCCCATGGGCCTGCCCATGGGTCAAACCTTTTTCTCCCCTATGGGCGAAATATTTAAATATCGCTATAAAATAGTTGAATTAAGTTAAAATGAGTTAAATTTTGTGTCATGATACTTGAAAGATATACACTTATGTATTTGCGAATCAAAAACATGAGTTTTCAATAAAGGAACATATTCTAGCCCACGGGCCTGCCCATGGGCCAAACCTCTTTCTCGCCCATGGGCGAAATATTTCAATATCGCTATAAAATAGTTGAATTAAGTTAAAATGAGTTAAATTTTGTGTCATGATACTTGAAAGATATACATTTATGTATTTGCGAAACAAAAACATCAGTTTTAAGTAAAGGAACATATTCTCGCCTATGGCCTTACCCATGGGCCAATCTTCGCCCATGGGAAGGCCCATGGCCGACATAGTGTAAATATTGAGTTTTTGAACAATTTTTTTTTCATTTTTTCTTCCTTGGTATGTTCCCTTGAAAATAGCATGTTTAATTTTGTAAATACCTTTGACCGAGACTGGGAAAAGACCGTAGAGTTTCTGGACTTTTGGGTTTCCACAATTAAAATGGGATCGGAAGTGTTCATGTGAATTCTCAAAGCTTCAAAGGATTTGCTTTAACTTTTGCAATTTCAGAAAAGAAGCTTATATCTGTCAAAATATTTGATTTTTAACTTTTCGGGAAAAAACGTAATTTCTTGATCAATGGGACATTTGCTACTGAACGTGGTTACCATAGATGGACTTACATATGTATCTTAAGAGGTTCAGGAAAATGTGTCAAAAGTGAAAGCAAATATCATCTGAAGTTAAATGAGAAATAAATATGTGAAATGTTGGACGTCCTCATTGATGACATCTATGTAAAAATTGTGAATACGCAATTTAGGGAAAAAGAAGGTATCCCTATTGGCACCATTTGTGCTCCCCTCCGTGTGGATCTATTTCTTTATCTATATGAAATCGGACTTTCTGCTTGAATTGGCAAAATAGAAGCAAGGGAATTTGGCCAGGACGTTAAACTTTAAGGTTCAGGTATATCTGTGATGGGATATCGTTAAAAAAGCGGTCAAATTGCCAATTCCCTTCATCTGATTTACGCCCCTGAACTAGAAATAAAGGAAATGAATGGCTGTATGACAAGAGGGATGACTTGAACATTCCAATAGTGAACGTGCCCTTTTTGGCCAACAATATTCCAACATCTCCAGGCTTGGTGTCTGTATTTCTCCACCTGTGAGGACCAGCATGCTGTTTCTACGAGGATTTGAAAGAGCGTCATACCAGTCTTGCTTAAAAGTTCTTTGATCAAGGTTACAATAGTCAAGGCCTCAGCAAAATCTTTCAAAATGTTTCATGGAAAATATGTGGAAGACAATTCAATAATACGCTCACCTTTTCGTGAGTGGTATCATCACCATTAGATAGTGATCCATAAACACATGATCATTATATAAATACCTTCGAATTCAGCGTTTAGCAGAGATTTCTTATGAACATGGAAAGGGATTTGTCGCTTTAATTCGGATCCGCCAATATTTAAGGACCATGTCTATAATGATGGGTTTGACTAGACGGTTACAACGTGGTCTAAAACGTGCGCCACCTTTGCATTCCCTGCATCATAAGCTGAAAAACTGTTCAAATTGGCGTAAAACTAATTCAACTGAGTGCTTCATGTCACAGTGTTTATACTGTCGTACTCGTTAAACAGATACAATAAACACTTAATATAGGGAACAGATCTGAGAAAGCTCATCCAATAACACAAGCATGATTTTATAAATAAGTATCACATGTAAATCTATACGAGTATAATGTAGTTCTCATAGTATTCCTCATGGCGTGGGTATTAACATAGGTTCATACAGCTTTGCATGTTAAACAATGCATTATTATCAAATAGAAGCCATCGGGTAATATTGTATTGTCATTATCAGACATCTATTTCAAATAGTCATGATCACTATTATTTCGTCACTGTTTTTCTGCCGTAGCCGCCTCCACAGTATATGCTCATCTTGGAGAAACTGCCACATTGTCATGGGACCTCCCCCAGCCTGGACTGGAGACGTTCATGGTCAACAATACATATTGGAATCAGGAGGTATTTCGCGTCACCAACTACCGCACAGTAACCGTGATGAACAGACAACCAAGAGTGAAAATGGAATTTGTGGGCGCCATTACTGCGTCTGGAACTGGTGTGTTCAGCTTCATGCTGCATGACGTGACCTGGTCCGATGCAGGACACTACAGATGTTACAGAAACCCATCAAACCCTACAGCTGCTGAGGTTCCTGGCTGTGGTCAGACGCTTGTCGTATTTGGTGAGTTGAATGGAAAGCATAAAACGTTGACAGTCGCAATGCTAATAACAAGAAGTATTAAGTTATAAACATTTATCTTATGATGGGTAGGTTTCTCGTCAGGATAAAGTTAAATGATAAAGACGGTATCCGCCGAGGTCATATACGGATAATGATGCAAATATGAAAGGTCAGGGTAGGTACTACTTTCATTGTTTACAAATACACATGGCGTCACCCTTGTCAATCGGCGATCGAGTCAGCATTATAATTTCATATATATTGAAAAATCAGTGTCCAACTGGGACGTACATATATGTAGCTCAGACATTTTTACAAGTTTTGGCAACCTTGGAGATATAAATTGCGAAACAATTGAGCGAGGCCACGAGACGAGCGGTATCAGTTTCCATATCTGTGCTTGGGGCCTTTTCTCCAATTTGATACAGTTGGAATTGGCCAAATTTGTCCGAATTGTTACCGTGTTTTATTTTCTCACTGTGGGTACATCAGACTCTTCGTAACATTATGGACAGACATGACGTCGCATGTCACTATTCGACTGACAAAGCACTGACCTTCTGACGTAATAATATATTAATGCACTCATTCCATGAAAACGTACTTGCAATATTTAAGTAAGGTTTGTGAGAGATGAAAAAAAGTTTTGAATGACATTATATGCTAAAGAGATTATCGCGTTTGTGTGTATTTTGCATGGTAAATACCTGTATTAGGAATAAACACCATGTATTTAGCTCGCCAATGCTCGATATATACAATGTTTATTTCCTAATATAGAGGGGGGCACGGGTGGCCCAGTCGTCTAAGGCGCCGCGATTCGCTGTGCAGAGTTGCGTCCCTTGGGTACGCCAGAAACCTATGGTTGTGGGTTCGAATCCCGGTTGGCCCCGATTATGTTTCTAGGTTTGTCAGCACCATACCCGTCCGAGACATGCATTACTTCGGACTTTCCTCCCACATTAAGCTGACATGACGCGATATAACTGGAATACTGTTAAAAGCGGCGTTAACCCCAACTCACCCACTCACCTAAAACAGGATATCTCCCATCCCGAAACACACTCGCGTGATAACCTCTATTTAATAAGCACTCAGTAATTTAATACTGTATGTATCTAACTATTTAATCAGTCTCATTCAATTACACTGTGGTTTCAGACCAGGATCATGACGATCACTGAGAAACCATATAAGGAATAGAACCTTCGACCTCAACACTGGAAAATACAAATATCCCGGCATAAATAATGGAAATATCGTTTTAAGACGAGGCTAGTTTGCAGTCAGAATTTTGTTCTTGTATCATTTTAAAACTGACATGGTACAAAAACAGATAAGAGTGAGTATGGTTTTACGCCGCTTTTAGCAATATTCCAGCGGGGGACACCAGAAAGGGGCTTCACACATTGTACCAATGTCGGGAATCGACCCCTGGTCGAACGCTTTAACCACTAGGCTACCCGACAGCCCCAAATCAGATGAGACGATTGATATCGTTAATTAGGCCACGTCCCGTAGCGCGAGGGGCTTGCAATGAGATATTGTCGCTGATTTCGTTTCATTGTAGAGCGTGCTGTTTCTTTGTAAAATTAGCAATCAGTGACTGCAGTTGACTGATATATTTATAAGAATTGACTTCAATGCAGTTCTGCGTTTATGGTGGTATCCACCCTACACAGTGTCCCTACCGGGTTTTACGTTTACTTCCTTAAACGCGAACAATATGAAAGCCAAATCTTAAACATGGTTGATGTCCCTAGGCAAACCAATGTATCAAGATAAAGCTGTAAATAATTCTGTAATAAACGTGGAAATTGAAACACTGTAACACTGAAACTGAATGTAAGTTTGTTTGAACACTTTCTTGACTTCAGCAGTGAGTCCAACACCCTACAGAGTTGATAAGGAAATAGTTTTAACTGAATAAAAATTTGTTTTCAGTAACATCACACAATAATTAATGTTTTTCCTTCATCTTTACTTGCTCTTTGTTAACGTAGCAGTTTTCAGTATTCAGAATCAGTCAAAATAATTCAACATGTATCCAAAATGCGAAAATTTGAAGCTTGATCACAGCAATAAACACATATCTTCTCGATGAATCTTAAACACAAACAGTAAGTAAAGTGAGTACGTGGTTTTAATGTTACTTTGGTTATCTAGACCAATGTTAGAATGGATATGGTGTCCAAGGTTTACAATGGGACAAAACAGTGTTTCGAACACTCATCCTGCAATTGCAACTTTTTACCGACAATGTTCTAATAAAATACGATACTTCAATTCCGATCTATAAGAAATGTCAAACTCATACTCAAGTTTGACCCTGAATGATATTTGATGGGGATGTATACTAGCGGGAAAAACGTACATTTGTAACTGCTCTTCACATAAAGTGCTGAAAATGTAATGTGATGGTGTAAACACACTATTCGGTCATTCGTCTGATCAATATTTTATCATTACAAAGTCATTGACAAAACCCATACCTGCTAACAGAGAACAGAGCAACACGACCCCACACCACAATTAATAATGTCAATATCGAGTATGACCACCGTTTGCGTTGATTCAGGCATGGCAGAGGCGACGCTTTGAAGACACAAACAGCCTTGAAGATGTTGTTCAAAATGTCAACCAAAGATTGGCCCAACTGTGCTGGCGTTACCGGCTGGTTCTGATCCAGTCGTAGGCGTCGTCATTCTCATCCCCGACATGTTTGATTGGGGAGAGGTCTGAAGAAACAGCTGGCCATGGCAGTACAGCAATGTTATGCTGCCTCCAAACGTCTGTTACAACACATGCAACGTGTAGGTGATCACTATCCTGCTGCAACGTGACGTTACGTCCCTGCATTTGCACATAGGGTAGAATATGATCTGGAACGATGTCGACCCATCAGCGTACGCCATTTAAAATGTCGTTAACAATGATGAGCTTTGTCGTCCCGTGAGTTGTGATGACACATCATACCATAACGCTTCCACCCCAAAGTGATGACGTTTGGTTACGCAAGCGTCGCTAAAGCGTTATTCTGGACGCATGTAGACCCTTGCACGACTATCAAAGCTGTCCAGATAAAACATGGACTCATCTGTGAACAGTATTATCTCCCATTTTCATCTTCTGAACCTCAAATGCTGTCTACATCAAGTTAGGTATGCCTGTCGGTGACGGGGTAGCACCACTGGGCTGAACGGCTTTTCGTTGGACGTCGGGACCGGGTGTCGTGCGTACGGTTCTGTCACTAAGTGGTCCGAACCCTGGAATTGTGCCAGCTGTTAATGTGGAAGATTTGATATCGATATATGTAGATGCTCCAAACCAAGTATGGTTGTCTTGAGGTGACGTCACACGTGGACGACCGGTCCGTGGCAAGTCAAAAGTGTTGCCCTGCTGTAGATAAGGTCTCAAAAGAAATAACAATAGTGTTTCGATGAACATATCTGACAACTTTGTTTTTCACCATTCCTGTTTGCATGGACGGTGATTTTTATCAAACTGTGGAAAAGCGATTTATATGAGCACCTAATAGCTGAACAATTAGTGTGTTCTGTCACGTTAAAAACACAAGTGCCAATTGTGAATCACAACCTCGTCGAGAGGATCGGATGTCTTCATGATATCTATTGAAAGATGCATTATCTAATTTCACAATTGTTTTATATATTTCGAACTAAATATGATGCACTTTTTCCGTCAGTATATTTAGTAATTTAATTTTTGATTTTAGTTGATATTTGTTCATTTTAAATCCCCCATTGACGGATACTGATATTATATTTACATATGTCCAAGATACCTTTGGTTTAGATTAAACAGGTTTTTGTTATAACAGATTTCCTACAGCCGTACATCTCAGCACCAGACACACTTCACTTGGACAGGAGTGTTGACTTGTCCTGCTACAGTTTCACTTATCCTGATGATAGTGTAAACGTGTCCATTAACTGGAGGAGGAATGGTTTCCTAGTAGAAGACACCTCCAAATACAACATAACACAGGAGAGTCGTGCATGGGGCTGGTGGAAAAGATACCACAGAAGTATCTTCACTGTCAGTGACGTCAGGGCAGCAAAGGGAGATAACTTCCAGTGTCAGGCTGTAGCAGGACAGAGGACAGTGTCACAATGGAGTGAAGAGTATGCACTGGTTGAACAATGTGAGTGTACCTTTGCTACCAAATTCCCGTTCAGACATAATATAGTGACAATATAGGTATTGTCGTGTCAATAATACCTTGGTGATAATGGATATAACAATAATATTAATAAAAAGACGTACAGTTACAAGGAAAGGACAGAGTTGAGACGAGAATTGTTCTATCCTCCGTTGCCACCAGAAAGAGGAAAACGGACTTGGCAAGTAATAGTTTGTTATTCAGTGATAACTAAGATAAATTGCATTTGTACACTTGACTTGTATCAACATATCATCCTGCACCTACATTACTGAATCAAGACAATGCAGATATTTATGCTTCACTTGTGTTATTGCAGCCGGGCCTTATGCCAACTCCACAGTGGTTCGTGAAGGACACAATGCTTTTATTACTTGGAAGATGCCGTTGGTTGAGGACGTATTCTATGTATATGCCCCTAAACATATACTACTCCTGGAAATAAACCCTACTAAAGTCTACATCTCGGATGCCTACTGGTCGAGAATCAAGATAAGGAAGATAACAACATCAGCTGATTATGTCGTCATCCAGTTCTGGCTACACAGTACAACATCAGAGGATGCGGGAAGATACTACTGTTACAAGAAGAATCAGGTTGAGAGCGTTCGCGATTGTTCTCATATTTTGTATGTACAAGGTAAGTACTATATACAGCTAAACATATAATGGTAATGTAATTGCTGTTTCTTAACAAACAGATGAAACATTTGGACTTCACAAATCTTCATGTTTCATTCATTTGAGATACAAATATGGAGGTTTTCAATTTTGTTTTGTTTCGATCTGACAGGTATCCAGGATCCATATATCGTGACCTCTGGTCCTATTAGTGAATAAACAAAATTTGAAAATCATACAATTCAAGTACATGTAAATATCAAACGGCTGCAAATACATAATCTCGATCAGCTGCCGAAACAGTAAAAGGCATAAAAATCAGTGATGAAACCAGTATTTTGTGGAAATGGTTCTACCAGTTGTACCTCGCCAATTTGAATGTAATAGTATTTTTTTGTTGACAGACACCCAATCGCTCAAGTCACATGAATCAATTAGTGCCTTGCATCTATTAGCCACATTACATGTTATCAAGAATGAGCACGCAATGACATGCTTCATAGACTTCATTGTACAATTGTTGAGAGTCGAACCCCATTGATTTAGCCAATACTTTAACCCTGGATGCTATCCCATAGCGTCATAGATGATGTCGAAACACGTAAAACATTCACTTAGTTGCATCCCAATATGCCTCGATATCGCTCATTTATTTATGCATCAAAACATACTACCTTTCTTTAAGGAAAACCAGCCAAACCCAACATCAGTGTCACTGTCAGCACAGACAAGATCGTTTTTACGTGCGAAACCAACTCTTCCAGTTTACCTCATGACCATAATATTTCAATGATATACACGTGGCTCAGAAACGGACACGCGGTTGAGAATGGGGGAAGGTACCACTTCTCAGGACACACATTGGCTGTGACAGATGTAAGGCAGGAGGACCTGGGCAACTATTCATGCCAGGCTACAGAGGAACAAGGCCTGGCTTCAGACTGGAGTGATACAGTCGCTCCCGAGATGCTGCCAAGTAAGTGATGAATGCAGGAACCAGTTAGATGTTCCGTGGACATGTCGTGATAAGAATGCATATCCTTACTATTAAATATACTATCTTTGTCAATACCAAATTCTTCAGAATTTCACATATATCGCCCAAACCAAATCGGTAATCAAAACAAATCACAAAAGTTCAATCAGTACTGTCAACGGGTCAAATTTATCTCGTGATGGTCAAATAGAACTCAACAGATACACATCCACGGAACTAAACGCCCACCTCCAAATTGTCCTCTTAAATGTCCCTGCTCTTAACCTTAGTTGGATTTTTCAGAGTCCATGTGAAAGAATTACCTCTGTCAAAGAATGAAATAGCCATTGAGAAAATGTATATGTAGTACTGTGTACCCATAGATATCGCGCCTGTTCATAGTCAATTCGCTGTTGTCAGTATCACACGGGTGGTGCACACTTAAGTCCATAACACCGTTACTCTATATAGGACCGGCAAGGTTATGTCTGCTTAGGTACTCTGCGTACTTTATAGCATTGACAAACCAGTAGTTGAAGATTCTGGAAATAACAGTAGAATTGCTCCCCTAACGCATGCCAGGGTCTGCTATTCATGAGCTCAAGTGATTATCTCATTGGTCTTACTGTTGTTATTATTTCAGCAGTACAAGAAAACCTCATTGCAAACATGCTTTGTTAAACAGTCTGACCATGCTCAGACATGAAGAAAGTGTATCTAATATTATTATCGTCTAATTCGCCGCGATTCGCTGTGCAGCGTTGCGTCCCTTGGACACGACAGAAACCTATGATTGTGTGTTCGAATACCGGTTCGCCCCGATTATGTTTTTCGGTTTTCCAGCACCAAACCCGTGGTCGTTGGTTTCACCGAAGTGGTAAACGTCTTAGACCTGCACCACTTCGGGCTTTCCCCCATCAGTTAGCTGACACGCTGTGATATAACTGGAATAATTGTATCTATGATTAAGACTGCACAGCTGTACAACTAAATGATAGAAGGTCAACCATTGCTCACTCCCACATCGCGTATCTCGCTCAGTTACCGACTCAGCTGAGTTTACAACTTTCACTTTCGTGTTATAAAAGCAATCAATGTAATCTCCAAAGATTTGTACAGAACAAGTAAGAGAGGAAAATCCAATTGAAAATAAGGTGATATTTCCAAGTGAAAAATATTGGATATATGTATTTGTATTGTAAGATAGGAAATCAGAAATTTATTTTCCTAAAGAACTCTTGTATAAACGTGAGGTCAATATCGTGACCATACAAGGAAACACAACTACGCCTGATTTATTATGGGAAAGGTATCTTTAGGTGCGTCTTTGTGTTTTGATTTCCTGTTTGCTCGAAAGTAATGAAGTGAATGTAGCATTACATTACAAATAAGGAAATATTACTTACTATGCAGCCAAAGGCTAAAAACGTATCACTTCTGTATCGAAAATTATCCAGAAATCTTTAAAATACATCATATATTGTATATACCCAAAGGCAAGTGTTAAACAGATAAAAACTGGTTGGGGCACATATAAATTTAATATGAACTGGTTGTAATATACATTTTATTCAAGTCAAGTCGACCTGATATGATTTTCATCAAAGTGTGAGCTGTCACCAATCATTTTTTAGTCGGACATTCTTACTTGAAAGCTTACGCAATGAAAAATGATGGAGAATGATTATACCAGTGATTCACAAGTTTGTTTTCATTATTGTGTGTTTCTTGAATTCATGTTCCGACGTTACACATGTTTTTTTTAAACACTTAATTACTATTCCATGTGCACAGGACGTAATTAAACTGCTATGTGGAGTCATATGTTTGTACACAGCAATATGCTACCTACACAACGACGGCCTGTATAAATCGATTCTGTACCCTACAATTCAGTGATGAGCATAGCTCCATACATTTGGCATACAATGACATGCAGTCAGCCAAGTACTCGACTGACCAGAATCCACAGGGGTCTGACTGTGGCGTGGAAAGTCAACGTTCTCATGGGATCACACTCACAGTTTGACATGCTTACAAACAGTTAAAAAGACCAGAAAAGTTCAGGATTATCTTAAATTACATTCTGGCATCTAGCAGTTGAGCATCGAAATACATCGTCAATAACGTATTTTCTAATTTACTTCACCCAACAACATTAACATTACGTTTGTAATTAAAGCATGCATTGCTTTCTGGCATTTCTTACAGGTTCAGAAATGGTCAAATTAAAACATTATAAAAAGTTTTGTTCATTAAAATATATTACCTACCTGAAATAAATGTTATTGTTTTCACATGAATGTTTAAGACTCAGTACAACTTTTGTTTCCAATTCATTTTAGCTTAAACTCTCTTAATGCTGACACGATCCTGAACTAATGTTTCTGTAAAGTCAGGTCAAACCAAAGTTTATTTCAGGAACAACTGTATGTGCATCCTCCCGAGGCAACAGAGTAAACTGACTATAAAAGTCAAGTTTCCACCCTTGCCGAATTAGGCTGGTACTATGGGGTTAGATTTTGGCTGAACTAACGAGTCTATGCATAGTCCGATCAAAACCGCACAATGAAATCGAAATCCTGTTCGTAAAGTGTCATGCAGATTTCGGTCGATTGCAGGATTTGCAAAGCATGTGCACCACAGACTCGGTGTCAACAGATATTTTCCAAATCTTTTCATGTTTTTAATCAAGATGTTCACGTTTTCTGATGCACTTCGCGCTGTAAGATCCGTTTTATCACAATATAGAATAAAACACATTAGCACAGATCGTCTTGACTCGGCGCCGCCATTTTGTTTGAAGCAAATGCAAGTGATACGAGGGGTGGAATCTGATTGGTCAATGGGGGAGACATAGAAGTGACATAACTCATAATAACCACTGGTGGCGCTACGATCGAGCCCAGGAATTACACCCTAGTTTTAAAGTCAGTTATCTCTCTTGCCTCAGGATGATGCTGTGTGTGCAAATTATGCATGGCAAGCAATGTTTATAGCGTCAATGTTATGAAGCTATCACGACCAGGTCACTAGTAAGACGTATATTCATCATACAGTCACATGTGATTAATGAAATATTTGTAATTTATATCTAACCCGCAATGAATAAATTTCTTCAAATACAGCTGAGCTAGATCAAAATAATGGAAGTAATGCTTAACTGTTCCTTTTCCCTATTATATTTCATCAGAACCTGAAGTTCAAGAACTAACAGTGAATGGAACAGCACACAAAACTGTGAAAGACAATCAAGTTGTCGTCTTCAGGTGTACAGTTGAGGGTTATCCATCCCAGGTTGTATATCTCATTCAGGAAAGCAGCTCGGCAACAGTAAATATGTCCAGAAAACAACGGAATGTGTATGAACATGCTATGGTTGTAAGGAAGTGTTCCCAACTTGGAATGTATTTTTGTAGCACCACAAGTGTTGCTGGCACAGTAGAAGAGAAACAACATGCAGTTGTCTTGAACGGTTTGTCTTCATCTCAAAATTCATTTCTCATGGTCATCCACTTCATTCCAAACATTCTTGTCTGTGAATCATTGAAACAATATTGATTATCTTATGAAAATGGAAATACACTAAGAATAATGTTTCCAATTCATAAATTATTAAGATTCAAGGTACATATTTCTTTGCAGGAATGCCACAACAACAAGCATCAAATGTTTTTGTAACCTACGGAAAACCTCCATCAGTCACAATCAGTCTTACACTGTGTTCATACCCAGGACCTTCAAAAACAAAATGGCGTTTCACACAGTCTGGAAATCTAAGAGACATCACTGACATGACAAAGTATCATCTGGCATCCAAGAATAAAAAACACAATGTGTTTGACTATTCGCTTGTAATTAATAATATCGGCGATGGAGACTTCGGGGCATATATATTCAGTGTTGGGTATAATGAGACAACATTCGATTTCTTCATTCCTGCATGCAAACCATTAGGTATGAATAGTTTAATTCAATTCTGAAATTGTAAAATATCCAGAATATTAGTGGATCTCTTTCAATACAAAATGAAAACTGAGATGAAGCATACTTCAATGCAATGTTCGTATTGTTATGATTATGTTTGTGACATGTGCGTAAGTTCACTTGCCTATATTTCAGAGGCGAGCCTTCCTCTTGTTGTTGGCTGTTCTGTTGGGGCTGTGATTATAACCATCGTCGTAACTGCTGGTGTGATACTTTCACGTCTCAAACAGTTCAGAGGTAAGATAAATGCTGTTTGAAATAACTGGTGGTGCACGTTTACATTATTGCCTTTGTTGAGGTGTCTATTTGCTACCATTCATAAATATTCCCTTTCTGGGATTATCTAGATTGATCACTGAAAATCCGAGGGTAAGGCCCTAATATATCTTTAACATCTATTTGCGTTTTCTTCTTCTTGTATGACATTTAAAAATGATGCCATTGGTATTTCATTGATAAAATCAAAACATTTGATTTTTTTTTCTTCAAATATAGTTGCTTTTTCAAGATATCAAGATGCACCTATGATTTTCAGAATAGTAACTGGTAATGATTACAGTGTCCATGCCACTTATCATATATATGTTCGTGTTTTATGTTCACAGTAAGGTCATTATTTCTATTATTTTTTCAGACTACTGGAATTTACAGTAAGTACTATTTTTTATTCTTCAAATGTTAGAATCTGCCAAATATTATTACGTGTGATCATAGTTAATGTATACATGTTAAATACATACTTCTGTAACGACCAGTATACTCCACAGGTTACGCCGATCGTACATCACACCAATGCAAAATGTGCCAGAAAATATCGAATATCGGGGATATGCTGAAATTGACGATGCTGGTATATCTGAACATGACACTGATAACACTATGCATCCTGTTGTTACTATCCCGGTTGATGACAACATTCCATCTGCATCTGGTTCAAGACACGTGAGAGGAATAGAAACTATAGAACTAAGCTCAGGGAGAGCGGATGGGGTTGAGGATGGAGAATATGAAGAAGTGAGACCACTGCAGACTACCAGCTGTGAGGCACGAGATGAACAAGAAACGAGTGCTCAAATGCAGCAACATGACAACATTGAGGAAGTCTTTAAAAGTGAGATGATCATGTCGGTGCCTGGCTCCAGCCCTCATTCAGCATCCAGTATTGATGTTACAGATGTATCGGCTGAGGGAAGAGAATCTGGAAATATGGTAGCAGGGATTATTACTGTGTTTGCAGAAACAAGTCTTATTACCCATGAAGCTAATGAAACAGTGAATGCTCCTGTCATTAATGTCGGTATGGAACAGTTACCTGCGACCATGGAAATGTATTCTGTTATGAAGATGGAAGCAAACACTACAGTAGCGGATGAGACCTTAATGGAAGGAAGAGAGGATGCTGCTGACATTGCACCAGATGGATTAACTAACAACAGATATGACAGTCTGATGCCACACCCTCCTCTGGTTAGTTACACAGCTTTGGAAACTGTTGGTGATATAATGTATGATTAGTACTTCGCATTTCGGCGGATCGGGTGGCCCAGTCGTCTGAGGTGCCGCAATTGTCACTAGAAACCTGTGGTAGTGGGTTCGAATCCCGGTTCGCCCCGATTATGTTTCTAGGTAAAGCTGTGCTCGTGGTTTTCACCAAAGTTCCGATGCCCACATCACTTCGGGCTTTCCTCCCATATTAAGCTGATATAACTGGAATACTGTTAAAAGGTGCATTAAAAAAACTCACTCAATCTGCCTATAATTCCAAATACGACGTACTGAAAGTTGAGTTGTTTAGCATAATAATGAACACTTTCATACCCCATTGCCCTCTTGTTAAATAACTCTGGTGGTAATCTTAAAATTGTGAAATTGATAATGTTGCCCTGATTAGAATGTTGAATAGTTCTGTGCCATCACATAATTTCCAGAATAAAAAGTTGATTTGTATGTAGCCAGGTATATGTACCGCATCTCCATAACGTGAACTCTAAGAGCGGTAAGGCTCTGTTTGTTGTGTAATATATGGTTCCATAAAGGTTTCCCTTTTGAGGAACCAGTTTTACAGTTGTAAACCTGTAAATAGTTAATTTAGCTTTGCTACTGGCATCGGGTATTCCTTCTGATTACGGGAAATTGCGGATAAACCAACACGTTTCGTTAAAGAGGCTATTTAGTTGCTTTTGTGTACATTACACAAGTTATTTTGATGTGTTGATTGACATGATACTATTTGGATTTGCTTAAGCATCATTTATGTAAGTTACATCTTTTGCAAAACTAAATTCAATAAACATATATGCAACCACATGATTTCTTGATATGTACGTGTATAGTTGTGTAAATATTTGTCATGCCTAGGGGTCTTTGCTCTGAACTTAAAACGCTTTGATTAATCATACTTATATACATATGTTACATGACTGTTCCGTTGGATTCGTTTCCAAAATAGTTAACCATGGAGGCAATGTACAACTGACGTTGAAGTATATCACAGATGTCGAGAATATCACCAAACGTTTACATATCACCTCTAATTTGAAAAAAGTATGCTTGTTCACCGAAACCACATGCAATGATTGCTTCTGGAAACTATCATACAGTATGAAAATATATTGTTTTTTAGATCTCGAAAACGTTGAACGTATGTAGTAGCACTGAGAATTAAGCATCACATTTGGTTGACTTGGTAAAATGTGTATATTGTCAGGGTAATGGACCTCACACAAAAGTCCGATTTGGCTTTTTTTGATCGCACACAAATGTCACACAAGGTATTAATGATTCATAGTTGAGGTAAAATGTTGCCTGTTATGTTTTAGAGTGTTTTTTGTTTTTGAGTACACTTAATTAATATCCTCGATTCAGATAAAATCAGTAACTGGCGTCAACAAGACGGTACAGTTCATTGTATCCTCAGTTGTACTTTTTGCATTTTAAGAATAAAATGTACAAATACATGTCTTTTTTTATTCAAGTATTACCAAGTGTAATTGACATTCTACATTTTGTAGCTTGGATAGTTAACATTACACCCAAAGCATTACTGGGTAGTCATGGTTTTGTTCAATGATTACGCCTAACCTCGCTGTGTAAATGCGCACCAAAATACACAATGCCTCTGGTGAGCCACGTGGGAGGCTTTTTGTGCGATTTATGCGATTGTACTAAATTCGTCAAAAAGCCAAATACAAATTTACTGCATTTACAATAAGTTTCTGGATTAATGCTACCTCTTTGCCGAATATTACAGAAATAAATTCGATCGAAAAAGACTTTTTTTGTTGTTGACATTCTGCATATATTTGATGCAATGATGCATTCCAATGATGCAGCGCAAGAGACGATCAGCGTGTGGGACATGTTATACATTATCTAACAGTTTAGGGAGTAAAGAAAAACATTTACGGGAACACTGACACATGCCGAGTTTTCCAAACGCATATGAAGTGATTTCATTCTATCTGAACCTGTGACAGAAAGATCCAGCTTCCTTTTGAATTTTGAATGTTTGATAATAATTTGCCCTTTTCTTCAGTATGCTTCATTTGCCAGGAATGTGTGGACTGCAGAACATATTTTGTTAACATTATACAATTTTTATCAAATATTCTGAGCCGCAAAAGAAACATCACCCCAAGTAACATTGCATGAAAAGTTGTCATTTAAATATCTGGGTAATTTTTGTCAAGGTTTCTAAAATTTAACATAACCCTGTCCAGAAAAATGAAATTTGATGATAAAAAACAAAGCAGATGACAATAAAACCGATCGCCCAAACGCATCACGGCAACGGCCATGGTAACCCGATGCACGTGAGTTCCGTGCAAACTGAAATGCACATGCGTTCCCCATTTCTTGCCCAATAAAAATCCACCCAGATCGGATAACATTCATTCGTTATTGAATTTCTACCAAATGCCAAGATTGACAAGAAATCAGCGATACCAGGCCCTTGGATAATTGCAAGCTGGACAAACCGCCCGGCAAGTACCCAATGCATTTCAGGTCCACATAAGGACCATATACAGGCCCCAGCAACGGTACAAGACCACCAACACTACAGATGCCTGACCACGTACTCGAAGACCAAGGGTTACCACCCGACGTCAGGATCGTCAGATTGTGTGACAGCATCTTCAAGATCGCTTTGTTACTGCTGCGGAAACTGCTCGACAGACCATGGGGATACACCAGCGACACATTAGTGTGGACACCGTGCATCGATGATTGACGCGCAGACACCTCCACTGTCACAGGCCACACCGAGGATCCATTCAGAAACCACGTCATCGCCGGGATCGTCTTCAGTGGGCAACAAAGCACCAGCATTGTCTCCACTAGCAGTGGAGAAGAGTCCTCTTCTCAGACGAGAGCCGTTACTATATCTTAACAGCAGATGGCAGAGAGAGAGTATGGCGACGCCGTGTGGAACCGTATTCGGATACTTGTGTTGTTGAGAGAGACTCGTGGGGTGATCCGAGCAACATGGTTTGGGGTGGAATTGGTCTTGCACAGAGGATCGGGACCTGTGGTCTTCCAGAACATCGGTCCAGGGAGAGGCAATGGTGTCACAGCGGGACATTGATCAAGTCTTGAGACCACACACCATACCTCATTTGGCACGTCGCCGCAACCACGAGTTTCAGCATGATAACGCACGTGCCCACGCTGCGAGAGCAACAAAAGACTTCCTCCAGCAGAATGGCATCAGAACCATGCGGTGGCCTGCCCTTAGTCCCGATTTAAATCCAATTGAGTACCTCTGGGACGAGATTCAAAGACGGCTGAATGACGTCCGACCAAAGCCGACAACAGCAGCTGAACTGCGTCAGGCGTTCCTTAGAGTGTGGGTTCAAGTGCCTATGGCCGTCATCAACCGCCTGATCCATTCCACGTATCGACGTTGCACGGCAGTCACCAATGCACATGGCGGACACACGAGATACTGACTTGCGATGCCATTTTCTCAGAAACTAGTGTTGCGTTTCACTTTAAGAATATTGGACACTTAAATTCCAACCTTGATGATCAGTTTTGCCAAGTTTCATCTTTTTAATGTATCTCAAAGTATGTTTACAGTCTTTGGACAAATAAGGTTTCTCATATATTTGTCCATGGTGACGTTTCGTTTGCAGTTCAGTATATGTATTTACTCTGTAAGATAATAAACTGTCATCGAGGAATGCTTTTTCATGGTTAGGGATACTTCATCCACAATGATGATTTTAATGTATTTGGATTTCATCGACAACCAAATTGAGGAAGTTGGGAATCTTAAATATAGATTTCTCCCCACTGTTCCGTATTTCACGGAAAATGATTCTACTTTCAAAGAGTATTTGCATTACAAAATGAACAAGCACATGTCCACCAATAAAGAAAATCAATAATGGGCCAGCTCACAACTCCATCCTACAACAGTGAGTTCAATAATTTCCTTGAAAAGGACAGCAAACAGAATACTCACAGCCACGTGTATCAAAGCAAAGTAAATTAAAGTAATGTCGCATGTAGTTATGCGTTTGTTATGTCAATGTACATATGGCTCATGCGTGAGGTTTGTTTATTTATTTGATTTAAAATAAAAGAGTCATGCAAGTCAGTAGTTGGTATTATGAGTAAGAGTGACTACAGTGACACGCAATCAACCAAGTTACAGTGTTTCACCCCCGATCCAATTCACATACGCCCCTTTTGACAAGCAGTTCAGAGTAGCGGATCAACATGACCAGGGTCACAGCGTCAGTTTAAATATATTCTACATGCAGTGGTATGTGGTACATCAAGTAGTATCAAAGTATACGGTATGCAGGAATGTCTTTTGCGTAATATATACACATGGTTTCATCAGGATGGCCAAGTGCAGAACATCGCTTCACAAGATGAAGATGACAGGAGTGTATACATTCTGCTACTGTTTCATTCCCTGTTACCTTAAGTAGGTCCATGGGTGAATAATGTTTGACAGTGATCCATTTAAGTCACGCAGGATCCATAAAAATTCACATCTGGACCAGACAAACCAGTGACTGAAATTGCGAACAATGACCCACGGAATACAGATGGACTGAAATCCCATAAGCCAAGTTAGAGCCTGACCTCCAGATGCCTATTTTAGTTGACTCTTCCAACAAGTGAGTTATTCGGCGTCTGTTATGACACAGAACCACAACTTGGGTACATTTGTTGAATGTAGTCAATGTAGACAAAGCACAAAGTGATCATCATGCCAACACGACTGTTGACATGATCAGATAAAACTGATATGTTTTGTTAGCATTTGCATAAGTCCCTAGAGGTCCAGTGGCCCATGGAAATTCTATCTACGATTCAGCCGGACACAAAGTAACTTCCGTCAATGCACTGTCGTTATTTTGAACCCAACATTCACCAAATTACGATCCGTCACCCGCCAACACCCTACGCATGCTTGAATATGCTTATAGTTCCCATTGATGTACATGTATATGTACCTATCAACTGCTGTTCAAACATCATCAATGTCAGCAAGCACTTAATCCAAAATCTTAACTAATCTTAACTAACTAACTTAATCAAAAGAAAAGTTTATTTTTTATTGAAACTTACAATTAAACAATGTCAGGAAAGACATTAAGTGTATAGGTATGTTCCTGTCTCATCGTTGCATAGCGTCAATCAAAATCAATAACTTCCTGCATGAACTGTTTCCTGATTTAACAGATTAAAGTCATTACACACTTGAAGCGCCGCAGTGCGACAGTCGTGTGTGAAAGGACTCGCCATGGACCTGGTCAGTTTATTCACTAGTTCAATAAACAGCAGGAAATAATTCCATTGAAATCACGCTTCTCTGCATATATTACATGTTGGGGGGGGGGGGGGGGGGGGGGGGGGGGGGGGGGGTTACCAGGGTTATATGTGGATATGATCACTGACTGACTGTAAGGAAGTGCAAAGTCCGAATGGAGCACGGTGTAGGGAATACAGTTCATATAACACCCTAGGACCTTGTGTGTTTCATACTACCGGATTTAATATGGAGTGAAACAGGTCACTCTAGATGATATAGAGAAAAGCTGCACAACATTCTGGAACTTGTTGCCACTGGTGGGTAGTGTCGAAAAGGAGCTGCACATATTTACACAAATAATTCATTAGTATTGTGACAGTTACAAGCTCTGACAGTGGTATACCTAATACGATCATCTTGGTGTTTTTGAAATCGCATGTAAATTGTATAGCTGGCAAATATTGTGGAGCATTCGATATTATAACTAAACGTTAAATTAAATATAGGGCAAATTGTGATATGTGTTTCCATACAGCATTAACAATGAACACTTTGCCGTCACAGTATAACTTATGTTCCTCATAAGAGTGAGAATGGTGTGATTTGTCATATTCCTAGTGAAACAATATATTGCTTGGTGTATTAAGAGACAAATATGCGAACTACGATGAGCAACGGATTATATTTCCCCAGTGAATTAGTTTTGTAAGACGAGGTGCATTCAACACTGTTTCACCAGGGAAGTATCATCCGAAATTCCTAGTTTGAGAATTCAATCGACATACGTTACTATACTATTTACTCTATATTATAGCTGACCCTTGTGAGAAGGTGGCATAGCCTTAGTGACGTGGATCATGCCTATTGTTGGATGTGTTGGAGATATGTTATACATCATGTCCAAGGAATGTTTGGTTTGATTTGTTTGTTGTGTAACGCCGCAGTCATCAGTATTTTAATTATATGACGGCGACATGTATGTAATCGAGTTTGGTAAAATGAGAGGAAATGGCGTCATTTAGCGACATGCACAGCTGCTTTGGGATGCTTGTACAACTCCAGATTTTTGTCGGATTCCCACTGATGGATCATAAAACATGCCAACATGGTAACCCCATTGAGACACATTATACTGACTCCGAGACGATTAGTTCTTGTCTTTCTCCCTTAATGCCGAAGTTTGGACAGGTTAATAACAAGTGCCATCTGTTAACTTACTTTAAAATATAGCTACCTACCTTAGACACGAGGAGACGTTTCCACCTCCAGATTACAAAGGCAATCGTATGGTAAGACAGATAGTACATTCTGTTTTCATATAAGGTAGTTTTGTTCATGTATAATGTTTTAAAATGCTGAATCACAAAATTATTTCCACCAACTCCAGTCACCGACACCGCAGACCAGTTCTTGTTACTTCCTGATTGTAACTTCCAGGAGTACACAGAGATCAAATACATTGTAAGTAGAACCAAGTCCCTTATTTAAACAATAATGCTGAGTGGTGACTATCTAGTAACACAACCTGTGTTCACGAGTCAGTAGTAGAACGTCATGTGCGGCTTTCAGTTTCCTCTTTAGAAGCTGGATGTGTGAGTAAGTTGCTTTGGTGTTTTTAATATTTCCTATCAAATCACAAAAAGTCCTTTCACATCAAAACGAAACAATATGGGGACCGAAACTTAGTCTTCGGTGCACCGAGTAAATGATTTAACGACAAGGTTAATCTACGAAGCTGAGGTTACACCATCATAGTGTAAAACAAGAATGATATCGTTTTTAGTGTGACGTGTTGGTTCAACTACATTTGATGGAATGTCAACCTACAACAGACCAGATAAAGAATCATTAACAGTGACAGACAGTGACTGGATTCAGTTAGTTAATGTAGCCGGTCGGGAGAGGTTTCACAAGTTTATATTCAGTGATCAAGGCGATTATATTGCGGACATATATGAGATCATGAATTTATACTTCAGCTAGCTACGGTTGAGCCATTACAAGTCTGTTGTGATATTGTCGTAAGGTGACAAGATGATTTGTTCGTTAATGTGGATTGTGTCTGTGAGTGGTGTACTCTTTGCGAGAGGTGAATCAGGTAGGTCTCAATTTATGTAAAAATGTAAAATAATCTGGAGAATATTCAGGCTAGTAAATATACAGCGAATCGGAACATCTGAAACTAAAGTCAAGCAATTGGATTTCATAATGAAAATGTAAACTGATTTCTCGATAAAACTCAACAATCAGTGATACAATCCGATCTCGGCAATGTGGGACAAATTCATTTTATGAACGGGGGTTAAGTTTCATATTTCCTGAATAGTCTCACAATTCTCACAGCCATTGCCGATTAGTGGAACAACGCACTATCCTCTCGTTCAAATGAACAGTTTCTTGTGAGTCTGACAGTATCAGTTCTTGTCCGTGTGTCTTACGTGGTACAACAGAGTTTAATGCATTTCATAAGCAAATAAGAAATGCAAACAAAATTGTCCCTCATCATGAGAAATTCATTTTTATATCGCACAATAAAGCCCGAACAAATCCAATTTGATCACCTCTGTAATGGCGTGGCCCTTATTGTAATACTGTTTTATGTTTCTCTTGTGGTCATTCCCTCATGGGAGGTACGGGTGGCCCAGTCGTCTCAGGCAGAGTTGCAGAGTAGCGTCCCTTGGGCACGCCAGAAACCTATCATTATGGGTTCGAATCCCGGTTCGCCCCGATTATGTTTCTAGGTTTGTCAGCACCATACCCATGCTCGTGGTTTTCACCGAAGTGGTAAACGTCTGAGACCTGCATCACTTCGGGCTTTCCTCCCACATTATGCTGACACGCCGTGACATAACTGTAATACTGTTGAAAGCGACGTTAAACCAAACTCACTCACTCACTCATTCTCTCATGCAATCACAACCATACAGGAGAAGCACCAAATATGAATATATACATTCCCGCTACACAACGAAACGTTGAACTTATCATTGTTTACTTTGATGCAATATTTTATGAACTATTTAGGTAAAATATGCAACATAAAAATTTAGCATGTGCTAACCATTTGTTCAGTGACCTGTTCTAAATCCCAAAAAGTCATATAGGGCCCTTTGTTTCAAAATTATACATATAATTGATGCAACGATGCATTTAAATGAATCTGCTCAAGAGAAGGTTGGATGTGGGATATGTTATACATTATCTTGTTTAACAGCGTATGGAGTAAGGAAGAAACTGTAATTACGGGAACATGACACATGCCGAATTTGCCATACGCATTTACAGTGATCTCTCATTATCTGAAACTATGACAGGAAGACCCAGTTTCCCTTTGAATTAATATACTAATGTTTGTCAATAATTTGCATCTTTATTCAGTTTGTTTCATTTGCCTGGAATGTTTGGACTGCCGAACATATTTTTTTATCATCATCAAATTTTTACCGAATCATTTTTTTATCAGATAAATAACTGTCAACGAAACATTTTTTTGCATCGTTATGGATGCTTCATTCACCAGACTGCTTTTAATGTATTTGGATTTCATAATAAACAGCTTGAAGTAAGTTGAGAATCTTGAAAATGCATTTGTTCCTACAAAATGTATTTGTTCCGTATTTCACGGAAATTGTTTCTATTTTCGAAAGTGTCATGCAGCATACAACACCAACAAGCATATGTCCACCAATAAGGAAAACGAATTAATGGGTCAACTCACAAACGATGAAAGGAACATATTCATTAATACATTCCAAGAACACGTGGTAACACTAGTTTCCCTCAGCAAACAATGAGCACAATGATTGATGTACCTATAAACTACTGTTCACATACAATCAATGTTGGCAAGAACTTAATAAAACAAAGCTCATAGTAGGTTGATTTGATTGTTGTAGCCTAAAACCTGTTTATCGGTGCGTTGTAGGTAAACCAGCAAGCAAGTCCTGATTATACTTTCAAACTGCTCCACAATGATAAAATATCGGTATTGCATCATTACATGGTTTTAAGACCTACATATAAAATATAAACAAATCTAGTCTGTGTTTGTCCGTAAGCAGCAGCATATGTTAAGTTGCATATACCGTTGAGGCCACCATGATCAATATTAACTAAATAAATAGTGTCTACTTTTACACAGGTTACATGCAGGATCCTTACATTGTGTCTCCAGAGAGAGTCCAGTATGGCTGTGATGTCAACATGACTTGCTACATCATGCCTGTGGCAAAGTACATTAAGTACATCTCCTTTACCTGGAGTGAGAATGGTGAAAGGCTAATCCATGGAGGAAGATATGAGATGAGGTCAGGGCCAGGGACGTTTACTAACAGAGTGTATAGGTACTACACCAATACCCTCACGGTTAGAGACACGAGGAAGAGTGATGAAGGAAAGAGATACATGTGTCAGGTTGAAGTGGGAATTGCAGCAGGGTCAGCTTCCTATAATACTGAGGAGTACCTACTTGGTACAACACGTGAGTAATATAAGGGCACCTGTCATGATTGGAAAAACGTCGTATCCTATTTGATATAACATTGACGTAAATCCATGGCCTCATAATCGAACAACAATCACATTAATTCCAAACGAAAATAGAACCGTAGGTCCCTAACCTATATTTTAAACGTTTATGCAAGCCATTTTAATTGAATTACGATGATGTAACCCGCTTATGACTAAGATATTCTCTCCTGAATGCTGTTGTAAATACATTAAACAGGTTTCACGAGGAAGTTGTTTTCAAAAGTTAACCCAGTGTGTTTTTGAACCATAAAACTCTCTCCTGGGAGAGGTATGGACAATGTCATTGGGACTGATAAATATTGCATTGCCTCCTGTTGAATGAGCATCTTTCTCATATGTTGGCATCACTAAACTTGCTATGACAACTCTATTTTTTTTTAAGATAAGTCTCATGCTTTTCAGAAGCCATTTTGGAATTTTCAGAAGCTTCACTTTAATTGACATGTTCATTCAGTGATGTACGCTATTTTAGCATAATGCACAGACAATAACCTATAAAATGTATGACTTTTTGTGTGTGGATTTACCTGAGATAAACGTATGGTTTTACACATTTAAACGCAGACTTATGCAAAGTCAGCACAATTCATTAACATTGAAAAGGAAATATTTTGATTAATACATATGTCAAAGTAACCAGGCAAGATATATACAAAGGATAGGGTGTGGATGATGGATAGGTTGATGATGCATCTACCTGGTTCAAGCGTTCATCACTTACTTGGTAGCATCTGGGCCAGGCCGCCCTCCTCTGTAGCCTGGCATGAATAGTTGCCCAAGTCCTCCTGCCTTACATCTGTCACAGCCAATGTTTGTCCTGAGAAGTGGTACCTTCCCCCATTCTCAATTGCTTGTCCGTTTCTGAGCCACGTGTATATCATTGAAAGATTATGGTCCTGGGGTTAACTGGGTATCTCGATCTTGTTGATGTTGTCAGTGACATTGACGGTCGGTTCAGCGGATTTTCCTTAAAAAAGGTTAAATGTTTTGATGTAGATCTACATTGAAATAGAATTTCTGATTTTGACGATTTGGCTCAGCTGTCTCAAACAAGTATGGATTTTGAGAAATAGTTTGAATGAAGGTCAGTGAATGTTCTGCGCGTTACAATATCATCAACGTCGCCGTTGGGTAGTATTTGGGGTTAAAACTGTGCATGAATCCACGTGGAACGTTCTCAACAATTGCAGTGGGCCCTTTGTGAAAAGATGTAGTGTGACTACAATAGGCTTAGAACATCATTCATTCATAATCACTACTTTCCATTAAAATGGGTATGGCGCTACGTCGTGCAAAATATTGGATGTGTTTTGGTATTATGCTTTCCAAACATTAGCGTTCTTGCATAAGATGTTGTTCATCACATCTGTCTTTGTTTTAGTACTTGGTATTAACATTTTATTTTCATGATTCCCTATTTTGTTCAAGAGAATATATATAACTTTTAAACGGAAAATCATATTACTAATTTCAAAGGAAAACCCTCTAAACAAAATCTCATTGACAACACAAACAAGATCGTTTTGACATGCAACTCGTACAAATACTGATTACACTGCTTCAGAAAAGGTAAGAGAATAAGAATGGTGAGAGGTTCCACGTCTCCGGACAGACCTCGGCAACGCCTCGACATTGATGATGTGGTGAGACATCAGAACATTATCGTCATCATCTGGATTTCTAAACATTTCAACTGACATTAAAAGGTTTTACTTTTTTCAGGAAAACCCGCTTGTCATTGACAACACGGAAAGATAGTTTTGATGTGCGAGACAAACTCTTCCAGTGCACCCCAGGACCATAATCTTTCGATGATATATATATGGTGCAGAAACGGACAAGCGGTTGAGAATGGGGGAAGGTACCACTTCTCAGGACACACCATGGCGTATTTTATAGCATAGACAAACCAGTAGTTGAAGGTACTGGAAATAACAGTAGAATTGCTCCCCTAACGCATGCCATGGTCTGCTATTCATGAGCTCAAGTGATTATCTCATGGGTCTTACTGTTGTTATTGTTCCAGCAGTACAAGGAAACCTCATTGCAAAATGCTTTGTTAAACAGTCTGACCATGCTCAGACATGAAGAAAGTGTATCTGATATTATAATCGTCTGATTCGCCGCGATTCGCTGTGCAGAGTAGCGTCCCTTGGACACGACAGAAACCTATGATTGTGGGTTCGAATACCGGTTCGCCCCGATTTTGTTTTTTCGGTTGTCCAGCACCAAACCCGTGGTCGTTGGTTTCACCGAAGTGGTAAACGTCTGAGACCTGCACCACTTCGGGCTTTCCTCCAACGCTGTGATATAACTGGAATAATTGTATCTATGATTAAAACTGCACAGCTGTACAACTGATAGTACGTCATCCATTGCTCACTCCCATATCGCGTATCTCGCTCAGTTATCGACTCAGCTGAGTTTACATCTTTCACTTTCGGGTTATAAATGCAATTAATGTAATCTCCAAAGATTTGTACAGAACAAGTAAGAGAGGAATATCCAATTGAAATTAAGGTGATATTTTCAAGTGAAAAATATCGGATATATGTATTTGTATTGTAAGAAAGAAAATCAGTATTGTTTTTCCTAAAGAACTCTTGTATAAACATGAGGTCAATATCGTGACCATACAAGGAAACACAACTACGCCTGATTCATTATAGGAAAGATATCTTTAGGTGTGTCTTTGTGTTTTGATTTCCTGTTTGCTCGAAAGTAATGAAGTGAATGTAGCATTACATTTCAAATAAGGAAATATTACTTACTATACATTCAAAGGCTAAAAACGTATCACTTCTGTATAGAAAATTATCCAGGGATATGTGAATACATCATATATTGTATATACCCAAAGGCAAGTGTTGAATTATTTTATATACTGCGGGGTGGGAAACAATTAATGAGTTTAAAGGATGCCAGATAACAGATAAAAAACGGGTTGGGGAGATATATAAATAAAATATGAACTGGTTGTAATATACATTTTATTCAAGTCAAGTCGACCTGATTTGATTTTCATCAAGGCGTGTGCTGTCACCAATCATTCTTCCGTCGGACATGCTTACTTGAAAGCTTAGGCAATGTGAAATGATGGAGAATGATTATACCAGTGGTTCACAAGTTTGTTTTCATTATTGTGTGTTTCTTGACTTCATGTTCCGACGTTACACATGTTATTTTAAACATTTAATTACTATTCCATGTGCACAGGACGTAATTGAACTGCTAGGTGGAGTCATTTGTTTGTACACAGCAATATCCTGCCTACATAACGACAGCCTGTATAAATCGATTCTGTACACTTCAGTTCAGTGATGAGCATAGCTCCATACACTTGGCATACAATGACATGCAGTCAGCCAAGTACTCGACTGACGAGAATCCACAGGGGTCTGACTGTGGCGTGGAAAGTCAACGTTCTCATGGGATCACACTCACAGTTTTACATGCGTACAAACAGTTAAAAAGACCAGAAACGTTCAGGGTTGTCTTAAATTACATTCTGGCGTCTAGCAGTTGAGCAACGAAATACATCGTCAATAACGTACTTTCTAATTTACTCCACTCAACATTAACATTACGTTTGTAATGAAAGCATGCATTGCTTTGTGACATTTGTTACAGGTTCAGAAATGGTCCAATTAAAACAATATAAAAAGTTTTGTTCATTAAAATAAATTACCTACCTGAAATAAATGTCATTGTTTTCACATAGATGTTTAAGACTCAGTACAAATTTTGTTTCCAATTCATTTTAGCTTAAACTCTCTTAATGCTGACACGATCCTGAACTAATGTTTCGGTAATGTCAGGTCAAACTAAAGTTGATTTCAGGAACAACTGTGTGTGCATCCTCCCGAGGCAACAGAGTTAACTGACTATAAAAGTCAAGTTAACACCCTTGCCGAACTAGGCTGGTACTATGGGCTTAGATTTTGGCTGAACTAACGAGTCTATGTATAGTCCGATCAAAACCGCGCAATGAAATCGAAATCCGGTTCGTAAACTGTCATGCAGATTTCGGTCGATTGCAGGATTTGCAAAGCATGTACACCACACATCGACAGTAGTCCCTCATCGACACTGAGTAATACAGCTGAGCTAGATCTAAATAATGGAAGTAATGCTTAACTTTTCCTTTTCCCTATTATATTTCTTCAGAACCTGAAGTTCCTGAACTAACAGTGAATGGAACAGCACACACAACTGTGAAAGACAATCAAGTTGTCGTATTCAGGTGTACAGTTGCGGGTTATCCATCCCAAGTTGTATATCTTATTCAGGAAAGCAGCTTGGCAACAGTAAATATGTCCAGAAAACAAAAGAATGTGTATGAACATGCTATGGTTGTAAGGAAGTGTTCCCAACTTGGAGTGTACTTTTGTAGCACCAGAAGAGTTGCTGGCACAGTAGAAGAGAAACAACATGCAGTTGTCTTGAACGGTTTGTCTTCATCTCAAAATTCATTTCTCATGGTCATCCACTTCATTCCAATAATATATTAACATTCTTGTCTGTGAATCATTGAAACAATATTGATTATCTTATGAAAATGGAAATACACTAAGAATAATGTTTTCCAATTCATAAATTATTAAGATTCAAGGTACATATTTCTTTGCAGGAATGCCACAACAACAAGCATCAAATGTTTTTGTAACCTATGGAAAACCTCCATCAGTCACAATCAGGCTTACACTGTGTTCATACCCAGGACCTTCAAAAACAAAATGGCGTTTCACACAGTCTGGAAATCTAAGAGACATCACTGACATGACAAAGTATCATCTGGCATCCAAGAATAAAAAACACAATGTGTTTGACTATTCGCTTGTAATTAATAATATCGGCGATGGAGACTTCGGGGCATATATATTCAGTGTCGAGTATAATGAGACAACATTCGATTTCTTCATTCCTGCATCCAAACCATTAGGTATGAATAGTTTAATTCAATTCTGAAATTGTAAAATATCCAGAATATTAGTGGATCTCTTTCAATACAAAATGAAAACTGAGATGAAGCATACTTCAATGCAATGTTCGTATTGTTATGATTATGTTTGTGACATGTGCGTAAGTTCACTTGCCTATATTTCAGGGGCGAGCCTTCCTCTTGTTGTTGGCTGTTCTGTTGGGGCTGTGATTATAACCATCGTCGTAACTGCTGGTGTGATACTTTCACGTCTCAAACAGTTCAGAGGTAAGATAAATGCTGTTTGAAATAACTGGTGGTGCACGTTTACATTATTGCCTTTGTTGAGGTGTCTTTTTGCTACCATTCATAAATATTCCCTTTCTGGGATTATCTAGATTGATCATTGAAAATCCGAGAGGTAAGGCCCTAATATATCTTTAACATCTATTTGCGTTTTCTTCTTCTTGTATGGCATTTAAATATGATACCATTGGTATTTCAATGATAAAATCAAAACATATGATTTGTTTTTTTCAAATGTAGTTGCTTTTTCAAGATATCAATATGCACCTATGATTTTCAGAATAGTAGCTTGTAATGATTACAGTGTCCATGCCACTTGTTCGTGTTTTATGTTCCCAGTAAGGTCATTATTTCTATTATTTTTTCAGACTACTGGAATTTACAGTAAGTACTATTTTATATTCTTCAAATGTTAGAATCTGCCAAATATTATTACGTGTGATCATAGTTCATATATACATGTTAAATAAATACTTCTGTAACGATCAGTATACTCCACAGGTTACGCCAATCGTACATCACACCAATGCAAAATGTGCCAGAAAATAACGAATATCGGGGATATGCTGAAATTGACGATGCTGGTATATCTGAACATGACACTGATAACACTATGCGTCCTGTTGTTACTATCCCGGTTGGTGACAACACTCCATCTGCATCTGGTTCAAGACACGAGAGAGGAATAGAAACTATAGAACTAAGCTCAGGGAGAGTGGATGGGGATAAGGATGGAGAATATGAAGAAGTGAGACCACTGCAGACTACCACCTGTGAGACAAGAGACGAAACGAGTGCTCAAATACAGCAACACGACAACATTGAGGAAGTCGTTAAAGTGAGATAATCATGTCGTTGCCTGGCTCCAGCCCTCATTCAGCATCCAGTATTGATGTTACAGATGTATCGGTTGATGGAAGAGATTTTGGAAACATGGTAGCAGGGATTATTGCTGTGTTTGCAGAAACAAGTTTTATTACCCATGAAGCTAATGAAACATTGAATGCTCCTGTCATTAATGTTGGTATGGAACAGTTACCTGCGACCATGGAAATGTATTCTGATATGAAGATGGAAACAAACAATACAGTAGCAGATGAGACCTTAATGGAAGGAAGAGAGGATGATGCTGACATTGCACCAGATGGATTAACTAACAACATATATGAGTCTGATGCCACACCCTCCTCTGGTTAGTTACACAGCTTTGGAAACTGTTGGTGATATAATGTATGATTAGTACTTCGCAGTTCGGCGGATCGGGTGGCCCAGTACTCTGAGGTGCCGCAATTTTCACTAGAAACCTATGGTAGTGGGTTCGAATCCCGGTTCGCCCCGATTATGTTTCTAGGTAAAGCTGTGCTCGTGAGTGTCACCAAAGTTCCGATGCCTATATCACTTCGGGCTTTCCTACCATATTAAGCTGATATAACTGAAATACTGTTAAAAGGTGCATTAAAAACAACTCATTCAATCTGCCTATAATTCAAAATACGACGTTTTGAAAGTTGAGTACACTTTCATACCTCATTAAATAAATTGTCATTGTAAATAACTTAAAATTGTGAAATTGATAATGTTGCCCTGATTAGAATGTTGAATAGTTGTGTGCCATCACATAATTTCCAGAATAAAAAGTTGTTTTGTATGTAGCCAGGCATCTCCATAAAGTGAACTCTAAGAGCGGTAAGGCTTTGCTAGTTGTATTATATATGGTTCCATGAAAAAATGATTTTTGTTTCCCTTTTTAGGAACTAGTTTTACAGTTGTAATCCTGTTAATAGTTAATTTACCTTTGCTACTGGCATCGGGTATTCCTTCTGATTACGGGACATAAGCGGATAAAACAACACCTTTCGATAAGGAGGCTATTTAGTTGCTTTTTGTACATTACCCATGTTCTAACGGTTATTTTGATATGTTGATTGACATGATACTATTTGGATTTGCTTAAGCATCATTTATGTAAGTTACATCTTTTGCAAAACTAAATTCAATAAACATATATGCAACCACATGATTTCTTGATATGTACGTGTATAGTTGTGTAAATATTTGTCACGCCTAGCTATAGGGGTCTTTGCTCTGAACTTAAAACGCTTTGATTAATCATACTTATATACATATGTTACATGACTGTTCCGTTTAATTCGTTTCCAAAGTATGGCATCAATGTAGAACCGAGGTTGAAGTATGTCACAGATGTCGAGATTATCACCAAACGTTTACATATCAACTCTAATTTGAGAAAAGTATACTTGTTCACCGAAACCACATGCAAGGATTGCTTCTGGTAACTATCATACAGTATGAAAATATATTGTTTTTTAGATCTCGAAAATGTTTGAACGTATGAAGAAGCATTGAAAATTAAGCATCACATTTGGTTGACTTGGTAAAATGTAATGGACCTCACACAAAAGTTTTGTTTGATCGTACACAAATGTCACACAAGGTCATAATGATTTCATAGTTGAGGTAAAATGTTGCCTGTTGTGTTTGAGAGTGTTTGTTGTGTTTAAAGTACACTTAATTATTATCCTCGATTCAAATAAAATCAGTAACTGGCGTCAACAAGACGGCACTGTTCATTGTATCCTCAGTTGTGCTTTTTGCATTTTAAGAATAAAATGTACAAATACATGTCTTTTTTTATTCAAGTTTTACCAAGTGTAATTGACATTCTACATTTTGTAGCTTGGATAGTTTACATTACACACAAAGCCTTACTGGGTAGTAATGGTTTTGTTCAATGATTACGCCTAACCTCGCTGTGTAAATGCGCACCAAAATACACAATGCCTCTGGTGAGCCACGTGGTAGGCTTTTTGTGCGATTTATGCGATTGTACTAAATTCGTCAAAAAGCCAAGACTCTTTTTTTGTTGATATTCTGCATATATTTGATACATGATGCATTCCAATAATGCAGCGGAAGAGACGATCAGCGTGTGGGACCTGTTATACATTATTTAACAGTTTAGGGAGTAAAGAAAAACTTGTAATTTTTACGGGAACACTGACTCATGCCGAATTTGTCAACGCATATGAAGTGATTTCATTCTATCTGAAACTGTGACAGGAAGATCCAGCTTCCTTTTGAATTAATATAATAATGTTTGATAATTATTTGCCCTTTTCTTCAGTATGTTTCATTTGTCAGGAATGTGTGGACTGCAGAACATATTTTGTTAACATTATACAATTTATATCAAATATACTGAACGGCAAGGGGCGGTAGGGTAGCCTAGTGGTTAAAGCGTTCGCTCGTCGCGCCGAAGACCCGGATTCGATTCCCGACATGGGTACAATGTGTGAAACCAATTTCTGGTGTCCCCCGCCGTGATATTGCTGAAATATTGCTAAAAGCGGCGTAAAACCATACTCACTCACTCACTGAACCGCAAAAGAAACATCACCCGAAGTAACATTGCATAAAAAGTTGTCGTTTAAACATGTTTGTCAAAGTTTCTAAAAATTAACATGACTTTGTCCGGAAAAATGAAATTTGATGATAAAAAACAAAGCAGATGACAATAAAACCGATCGCCCAAACGCATCACGGCAACGGTCATTGTAACCCGATACACGTGAGTTCTGTGCAAATTGAAATGCTCATGCGTTCCCTTATTTCTTGCCCTATAAAAATCCACCCAGATCGGATAACATTCATTCATTATTGAATTGCTACCACACGCCAAGCTTGACAAGAAATCAGCGACACCAAGCCCTTGGACGATTACAAGCTGGACAAACCGCCCGGTAAGTAGCCAATGCATTTCAGGTCCACATAAGGACCATATACAGGCTCCAGCAACGGTACCAGACCACCAACGCTACAGATGACTGACCACGTAGTGGTCACAAACCGACGTCAGGATCGTCAGATTGTGCGACAGCATCTTCAAGATCGCTTTGTTACTGCTGCGGAAACTGCTCGACAGACCATGGCGGCACATCAGCGACACATTTGTGTGGACACGATGATTGACGAGCAGACACCTGCACTGTCACAGGCCACACCGAGGACCCATTCTGACACCACGTCATCGCCGGGACCGACTTCAGTGGGCAAAACAGCATTATCATTGGCGCTACAGCAGTGGAGAAGAGTCCTCTTTTCAGACGAGAGCCGTTACTGTATCTTAACAGCAGATTGCAGAGAGAGAGACAGGGAGAGAGAGAGAGAGAGAGTATACGCAACACATCCACACCTATTCATCAACATAGACCTATGCTCAGAACGCGGACGCACACACGTAAGCTAAACACGCAACCACACACGAGTCGCACACACACACACCTCCACACACACACCTCCACACACACACATCCACAAACACATAAACACACATACACACATCCACACACACACACACACACACACACACACACACACACACATCCACACACACACACATCCACACACACACACATCCACACACACACACATAAACAGACGCACACACACATCCACACACACATAAACAGACGCACATATATAAACATGCACGCACAATGTCCGCTTGGACATGAAATTATTCATAAGTTCACCACATAATCCATATACGTCTTTTAAGGCAAACACTGGATTTCGTTACCTGAATCTAACTGAAAAGGGATAATAATTGTTGACTTGCAAGTTATGATATATAATTCGTTATAAGTTTAAGTTTGATATATTTGTGCAATACTTACAGTGGTAAAACATATCCACAAATCAAAAATCTGTAAAATAACTCAAAACAGCACGTGGTTCCTAATTACGATGGGCAGTGTTGGTTGAATAAATATATAAATACAAGTATGATAAAATTATTCTCAAAAATATTTCCTCCAAACTCAGTTTCAGATCCCTGTTAGTGGACATGTGTTAAAAACACTGATCACCGTCCACAACGCTGTCGGAAACCGAAACGTTCCGGTCACCCACGGACTCACTGTGAAAATGATAAATGCGTTCAATGCATCAATCGTCATGGTAGAAGTGTAGTAATGTGTAATTAGACATACGTGAGTTTATGGAAAGTTACTCTGCGTTTACAGGAAAATAAACTAAAGTGTGTAAATAAATTGTGTAGTGTAAGGCACACATATTCATCAGTCTGTTCATGACTTTCAACATGAAAAGGTTGTTTTCCTATCAAAGACGAATGAGAAGAGCGTTACCATACCTACTGTGTGCGTCCTTTATAAATGATTGGTTATTCAGAGGCTGATTTGGAAGAAAGATTGAGATTTAATTTGGTAGGAATTGAAATGCATCTGATGACGACATGGTATGGTTCGAAACGTTAAGCATGAGGCAACATGTGCTTTATATAATCTGTACACAATTTTGTTATTCCTGGAAACACAACGTGAACACGGTCTCCGGATGTTCGGACTAAAGTTTGTACTGCTGAATAGCGCCAACTTAAGAATGAAGAGCTGTAGCCAATCAGTTTGGTGTTGGCAATTCAACAGATAGACATGGTTGTGTTAGATCTGGCGTTGGTTTAACGTTAACATAACAACATATACATGCAGTGAAAATTTCCCCTTGTGTACATTTACATTGGAGCCTGATCCACACATTTTTTTTATTTATACGCGTATGCAAATATACACGCATATGAACAGAGGGTCTCACCAAACTTTTACAGTGGAGACTATTTATACAGTCTATGTCCTTTTTCTTCTTTTCCTTGAGTGAGTTTTTGTTTTACTATTATACTGGCGAAAAGGAAGTATCTTCATGCGATCTGTCTTCAATGGTCTCGATTGCGATTTATCAAACTATTTTCAACGTTGGTTTTGCTACATTCGCTATGATCACCAGCATGGTAACGCTCCACAATACATCAATGAATTTATTTGAACATTAATATCGTGCTACCAAAAGTAAGTTTATAATGTGTGAAGTGTACACTGTACAACCATGGCTTCGCGTGTTCTTATGCTCTGACTCTCTGCATGGTATCACTTTATCACTTCAAACAGGAAGGATTTTCTTATACCAGGAAACAAGCCAGTGACTAATTCGTTTCAGGGTGCTTGTGAAATATTGTGAAGTGTTTTTTGTCCTTGTCTATTTGTTGTGTAACGCCACAGATAGCAATATTTGCGCTACATCACGACAGCCTAAATATCAGGGACTGAATCAGAGAAAAAACAATGGTTGATGCTACGTGCAGCACCCTTGTCCCCGTTTAGACAATTTAATAACGTAAGCTATTTCTTTTATCTGCCCGTACAAGACAAATGTAAACAAACAGGTAGGGTCGACTTTAACATGGAAGCATAGCACAGGAGGTGTTTTGACAAAAGCCAGAACATCTTCTGTATTTAATCGTGTTCATAATCAGAACCAAAATATGAAATGCTTCTTTCGGGCATGTTTTACGTCACACATGAGTGTGTACACATTGTGAGAGTTTTGAGATAAAGACGCGCATGTTGAACACAGATGGGGCTGATCTCTCTACCCTGAATTTCGTACATAGAAAGTATCAAAAGGCGTCACATGTGTCCGATATTTATCCTACAATGAAAAACGCCTCCATTTCGAAGCGTAATACGTATAAGGTGTATCCCGTTGTTGTCCGTCAATAATATTTTTTACAATTATTTTCCATTTAACACACAACCACACAACGACAGATAATTATTATCGAATACTAATCATTGACCTAACTTAAAAATACCTGTTTTTAATATTTCATCTCCGAAAAAAAATATGTTTTTCTTTGTTATCATGTGATTTTGTGACCGTTGGGTGATGGGGGTTGGGGGTAAGAAGAGACGATTTAACGTCCCGCAACAATGACATGCGTGTCAAACATGCTTGCTTCATGTCACCTAAATATCTTCCTTGATGATGAAGGAATGTCTCAAGATATGTAAATAAATAGTTTTATTGGGACATGAACTATTACATAACATAACGTAACCAGTTGCCCAGGGATGGTTGAAGACAAATAAACCCTGGAATGAAAATGTCAGAGGGAAATATATATATGCAGGAAATTAGGAAATTGTACCTTCGCCTTTTAACGAGCTTATCTTGTCTTTTCCGTGATGGTTTGGCCTGGTGGTTCAAGTGTTCGCTCGTCACGCTGAAGACCACGTTTCGATTCCCCATATGTGAAGCCCATGATTGGAATAGTGCTTTAAGCGGCATAACACCACACTCACTCTCGTTACCGTGTCATTATATAGCTATGCGCATTGTAACTGCGTCTCGGAAGTATATACGTTCAATTGCCAAGTTATAAGCGAATCAATAAATATGCTACTGTGATCCCAAGGCACCCACAACGATCATAACGTTATGGAGCTGATAATACATTAGGTATGAAGGTATGAAATTAATTTACGAGATGGAGTATCTATCAAAAGAACAGAAACATATTGCGAGGTTCCTATTCATCCCAATGCTGACCGAATATATTTATGATAAGACGGTGAATCAGTGGATCCTGGTACAGCCGAGGGAGGCAACTTAAACCGATTAAACCACGTAATAACGACTATGAAGTAACCGTACGTTCATCTATGTTAACTCGGGCCGCAATAAATCGGATATATATTTTTATGATTTGTTCCCTGTGTGTGGATATGCATGCGCGTAAACTGATGGCATGTCAAACAAAATATGTTGTTGAATTT